AATAAAGTATTGATTTCTAGAAGTCCAGCTGATTTCTGAGTACATGTCAAAGCTAGTGGGAGCATAAGTGTTATGCTAATAATCATCATGTTAGTGGGAGCATGATAATTATGATAAAGATTGCAAGTTAGCAATGTTAATTATAGAAAACAAAAGGTTTCAATTGGGAAAAAGTTGTTTTGCTATAATTAAGGGAGAGGAAATTATACTTCATCTCAAATCTATAAGCTTAGATCATGAGGTTTTAATCATTTAGTCAAGGATATATATGAATTTCATGTTGGAATGGCTCAACATAAGGAAATTCTGTATATGGGTCCATTATTTGCGTTCTAAAATTCGATTATGATTACGGCATCCCTTTTCATAATCTGAATTATGAGAACTTGGCAAATAGAAATGGAAATGTTATAGCAAAAGACTGGTTTAGTCTTTATGTGAGACATCATGAATCGTGTCCCATATGCTTCGGATATAGGATCGATTACATGTGCTATAGTTATCCGTTCTAAAAGTTTCCAAATGCCTGGGGCATTAAGAAGGGAAAAGGTTTAGAACTGGATATGACTAAAAGGATTAAACAATTGTCGAGGACAATCTAAGGTTTACCAAAGATTGGTTGCTCAAGGACAGTTGGAAGTATAGTGATAATTCTGGAAGGACCATATTGACATAATCTGTAAGGAGGCAACTCTTGTTCAGAAGTGATAGTCAAAATGAATCTGGAAATGTTTCAAAGTCAGAAATTTCAATCTGTGTAAGATTAAGGAAACTTAATGCAAGAAGGATGTTTCCAAGGAGTTGATCTCTTTTGGAATACTCTGTAATGATTGTTGCCAAGTCTTTGTGAATTTGTGCATAATCGTTACAAGAGGATCAATGCATATAAGTTTAGAATCTAACAGATTTCAGTAAATGGCATGAATTTGGAATTCTTGCATTTGCAGTAAGGATTTGGGAGTGTGAAAAGAGAATCATTGAAGTTATGTTCAATTGATCTAGTTCACAAAGTAAAGATCATAGACAAACATAGTATGCATACTTGGTGTGTCGCATGACTAGTGTTTAGAAAACATAGTGTACATGCTTGGAGCATGGGACAACTATTGTTTTAAATTCAAGAATAAAGTTGATAGCTGAAACAGTATACAATGAATAATGTGTAATCATATGGTGATAAATAAAAGGTGTTTTATTTATGTTCATAGGTTTTGATACCATATTGGATTCAATTATTATTGTGTTTCACTTTGCATGTTTTGACTTCCCGAATAAACTAGGTTATTCTTCCGGAATGACTAAGTTATTCAAACCATCCACAGTCGGTCATATGTTGGAAGTAGATATGAATTAAGACTGTCATGGGTTGGCTTGTAGAGGTCTAAGGTGTTGGAAAAGGGCTACAACACTCATGAGTGCTCATAAGTTCTGAGTATTGGATTCAACCCGCGCTCATTGGAATCACTTCATGGATTTTATCACGAGTGATCATGAGACGATAATATCTTATATTCTTCAAACCTAGAGATATGAGTTGTTACTATGAGTTGGTTGTACATTGATTGCATGAAACCACATTTGGTAACTCGGTGCTATAAAACGTGCCTTTGTGTATGATTCAACAAGTAGTAGAACAAGCCATATGAGTCGAAGTTTATCCATTCCTTTTACCTTCGGGATAAAAGCAATATCTGTGGGCCCCTCGATGATTTGATGATGACAAATGGAAGTGCTCGGCCGGGCCAGGACTGATTTGATTTGTTCAATTAGTCAGTCGTCATAAATCGGAAATCGGGAAACAACAAATGGACAGAGAGAATGATTATAATCCATGTCTCAGTCCATATGATATCTAGAATGGAGGAATATATGATCCCTTATCTAATGGACAAGTCATTGACAAAGGTCAGAGTTTATCGACAAGGTCAGAGTTCGACAGAAGCTTTTGAGAGCTACGATTGCCAGTTGGTTCCTGAAGTCATACGCAATAATGTTTTAGACTTATCCAAGTGGGAGACTGTTGGATTAATGTCTAAGTCCATAACTATAATTGGTAAGACTTGACCCGACCCGGCATGGTCCATTTGGGTTGCATGGCATCATGCTTGGATAGACTATAATGAGAGAAATAAGACACTTATGGTTATTAATATATTATAAGTTCTAGTATATTAATAATAAGAATAATAAGATTATTTAATTAGTATTGATCAAGAATTAATCTAGGATTAATTAAGTGATCAAAAGAAGACTAATTAAATATATGGGTTGATTGTGCAAATCATCCATACTTATATAGTGGGCTAATGCTCCATGGATTATCTAGTTGGGACAAAACCCATATGATGCTCCATGGATGCTCCATGGTGTATTTGAACCCATGGATCCAAGGAAATGGAAAGGCATGACAATTAGGGTTTACCCTAATTGTATAACTACATAAGCATCTTATTCTTGATCAAAATCGGCACTAGAGATAGTAAGAAAGGGCTAGCCGATTTCATGAAGTGTAGAATTCTCTCTAAGTTATTCCAAGTGCTTATGGTGTTGTGTGAACCATTTGAGGTGTCACACTTGGGGCACTAGGCACTCAAGCTTCATGAAGACATGCACTAACAAAAGGTATGTTATTCTAACTTGTGTTATTCAAAGTTTAGTATGCTAGAATAGAACAATACCTTGGAAAGTTGATATTTGCATGTATAATAGAGAAAACATAGATCCAAGGTATTTAGGGTTGCATGTACACTTAGGAGTGTTAGAATGCTCATAACCCAACACCAACACCCTCTCTTGAAACCATAACCCTAGTTTAAGCCTCGTGAGCAAAAAAAGGTATTTTTAAGTGGTTTGGAGTGTTCTTGGTGCAACTTTGGGAATAAGGAACTCATTGAAGAATTGTTAGGTGCATTAGAGCTTGTAGATCCAAACCTTGTTCACCTGAATCTTTCTCCTGAAGGTTTAATGTTTGAATCTTGTTGATGAAATTTTTAGGTCTAGCTAGTTTTGGGGGTTATGAATTTTTGGTCACTTTAAGTGCATAAAGTTTAGATCATGAAAGTTTGTGACATTGTTATAGATAAACATGGAAAATTAACCATTTAAACATCATATTGATTAAGATCTGAAAGTTAGTGACTTGGACTTAAAGGATTAAGTTGAAAAAGATGCACTTTTAGTCCAATTTAAGACTTAAAGTCTAGATCTTGTTTGTTGGGACCATTCTAATGGATAATGTTGGAAAATTTATCTATTATAGAGTCACTAGGAACCACAAAATGTGAGCTTGGTCCCCAGTTTTCCTCCATGCGTGGTCTTGGATATCTTAGTGGATCAAGAAGTTAGGGTTTTTGGATGTTGAAGACTTAATAGCCATGCAAGACCATAAAGTTGGAAAATTTATGGTTAAGGATATCATTTGAGGGTTAGATCTGGATTTTAGACAAAAGAGAGTAAAGGATTAAGCTCTTAATGGATTGGGAGGATGGCAAACATGTACGCTGCATGTACGTGGTCAACCCTTAGCCTTCTGAACTAAGTTGAATCAGTTGACTTGGTTGAAATTTGACTTTCACCAGGATTTTGATGAAGTTTGAACTAAGGGAATTTGGGTGATTTGATTTATAGTTTGCGATTTGGATTCCAGTTAATTATATAGGTGACCTGTAGAGATAGCTTTTAGAGCAATGGTCGGTGGAATTGTTCATTTAAACTGTGAGATGAATTTTATTACTATATCCGTGGGCCGAAGGCACCAATATCGGTCCATTACTTGTTTTGTGGAATACTAGTTGTCTCTGTGATGCTTGCAAGTAAGACCTTGATTTGGCCCCTATCGATTGTATGAAAGACCAAGATATGGCCCCTGACACTTGTATTTAATACCGAGGTTTGACACTCTGCATTGCAAGGAAACATCATGGTGGTAGTCCTTGATACTTGTATGTAAGACTGGGACTTGGTCCTCAATATTTCAAGGAAGGACCATCGGGCAGTCGATGACACTCGTACGTTTTGGTATGTGCTATTTTGGTGAACCCACCAAGCAGTATGCTTACGGTTTCATATTTATGGTTTTAGGTACTTTCGGTTCGAAAACGAAGGGCCCGACGTGACTCTACAACATCCCCCAAAGTTTTTCGGATTGACAATTAATGATATTACTCTAATTTTTAATGATGCGACCTTGTCTTGGCTCGATCGGTGCCATGCACTTGGATTCTTGGCTGCCTCTACAAGATCACAAAGAAAGAGGGCCGTCAGCCACATTCCGGGAGGAGTTCCCGGAAGAACGCTTCGACGGTTAAGTTAGAGAGTGTTTAGGTTCTTTGGATGTACAATCTTTGAAAGTTCAGAGAGCTTACATCGTAGGGCTAAGAGCGTATCCTTTTATACCTAGTGCCCTTGCCTGGTCCGTACCAGACAATATCGCTTTTTGGGGAGACAAGATCAGGGGCGATGATTGGAGGGTCATGCGCCTTCAACCGTTAGGGCGCTCTCATTGGCTCTAACGGTAATGGCCCGATTCTTCTGCTTGTCCCCTGACCGTATCTTTTGTCTTGGAGCTGGAAGCGTCCCTTGGCAGGCACAAGCCTGCCGCCTGTGTGTTCCGCTCCAGGGAGCGCTAGCAGGTGCTAAGCCTGCTGGGCCGAGCCTGGTTGGCGTGCTCGGCTCCTAGGCTAGACGTGATTTTTCCGTGCTGCCCTAGGCACGTCATCAAGTCCCCCAGTCCAGTAGTCGTAGGGTTGCAGCGCTAGTTACGATCTTCTGGACTTAGATAGCTTATGCGTGTTGGTTTTTCTTTACCCGTCGTTCCGTCTTTAATGGCGACGTGACTATGCATGGTGACTAGCAGTTACATCATTCAACCATTTAAATGTCCCGCCTCTTCATCATTTCTTTTATAGAAGCATTTACATGATTTCTCTTTATCTTTTCCTCATTCTCTACTCGTCTTCCTCTTTCTGGGTTTATCTTCTTCTTTTCTTTCTTACTTTCACATGAAAAATCTTCCCGGTATCCTCCCTTCCGCCACTGAGTATCGTCTACTAGAGATCACATATGGTTTAACTTCCCTAGAAGGTGTAGAGTTTCCTTCACGCGGCTCCAGTATCTCATCCCCTCCCTCTGGCAAGATTGGGGTTTATATGAAAACCCTAGATGCTGGCATCCGTTTTCCTCTGACGGATTTTCAAGAAAAGGTCTTCCAAAAAGATGGTTGTAGTCTCCAAATGTTGACTCCCAATGCAGTGAACAAAGTGGTTGTGTTTGAAATTATCTGTAGAGCTAACGAGTATCTTCCAGAATACTTCGTTATAAAGTTTTTCTTCCAATTCTGCATCACTGGAGACAAATGCACCTTTTTAGTCCGACGAGGGGGGCATGCCCTAGTTCCTGATGGGTGAACCCCTAAGAACTGGCAAGATAAATGGTTGTGGGTGAACCAGGAGTTGGTCGGAAGCACTACTGGAAAAACAGCCTTTTATGACGCTCATTGCGCGTCGTAAAAGCCTCAGACGACGCGCAAATGCGCGTCAAGGAAGGCCCTGTCATAAAGAGAGACGACGCGCATTTACGACGCTCATTTACGACGCGCAATTACGATGCGCATTTACGACACACAATGCGTATCAAGGAAGGCCCTGCCATAAAGGAAGACGACACACATTCGCGTGTCGTAACCTTACAACATGCGTGTTAATGACTGGCAACACGTATCAAGAAAGACACTGTCAAGAAAGGCCATGTCATAAATGAAGATGACACACATTTTAGTGTATCATAATTTTAAATGTTTAAAAAAATATTATTTATAGATTTACTTATTTTCAAATTAAATTTGTATTTAATGTTTTTGAATAGAAAATAAAATATCATATACAAAAAATCGAATCCATTGCATAAATTTAATGTCATACAATTCTATTTGTTACAATATATAAATTTCCATCTAATCTACTATGTACATCAAATTCCAACTAAGTAATGTTGCATCTTGCCTTTTATAATTCTTTAAGACTAATGCTCCAAACAGATGATTATATGGATAAGCAGTTGTGCATTGGCTGCATCCCGGTTGCTGACATCCTTCCACATATCTTTACACCACATAAAACTAGATCATACCTTTGCACCACATAAAACTAGAAGATGGAGAGAGCTAGACTCCATATCCTTAACGGCCCCACCTAAGGAGATGGAGTGATCCTTTTCATTTTGATTCCATTCATCCAAATAAGGTAAAATCAATAACAAAATGAAAATGAAAATGAAGTGAATTGACATTCTAACTTGTTTCTTGAGGATAGAGTGCAACTTTAAGTCCTGATTCAGCTGTTGTATCTGTAATCTTTTGGATATGACTGGATGCCACATCTTTGAGATAGTCGCCTATACGTGTCTGAAAGAAATTGTAATTATTTCAGATAAAAGGTACATAAATTAGCACTATAACTCTAAACAAACAAACCTATGTCCATGTAGCTCGGGACATTTTTTCTTGCTCCTGAAGATCCATTCGAAAAGTATTTGTTTAATAATATATTAAATCTTAACATATTAAATAAAAACAAAAAAAAAATTTAAATAGACCATACCAATTTCCCTGAAATGACACAAAGTGATTCAGTGTCTACTGCCTTGCTTTCCCTGCAAAGTTAATCTCAAGAAGTAGGTTTCGTTTTGATATGTCTCTTTTTCCATGAATCTGTATAGTATAATTGTTCTGAAGTGTTGTTTCTTTTTTACATAATACCTTAATTGGTTTCTGCAATCCCATAATTGGTGCTTTCTATCTCTGAATTTAATCTGCTGCTAGTGCTAGATGATGATGTCCAACAACCTGAGCCTGAGAATAAAACACAACAGTCTATTGTTCATATTCATTAATTATCTTTTGAAAGGCGATAACCTGCCTATCTGTAGTAATACTTACTAGAGGTAGAGGTGTTTGGCTTTGGAAAGAGCATTGTCAGGTATTCAACTTTTAGGCTGCATCTATTACACTGTGCAGGAGTATACTAGACTAGACTGATCAAACTTTCTATTACTTGACTAGACTTTGACAGATGGGTTATTTCATTTCTTCCCATTACACCATTTCTTTCAGTTTCTTTCTTTTTATTCATTGTACTTTAAAAATAAAATGCTATAATAAATAAATTAATGAAAGTACAATGCTATTTCTTGAAGGTTGCAACAGCTATTGCTGCATTTGACCTGGCACCTACTCATCCAATTAGACTTGGTTTGGCTTTGAATTTCTCAGTTTTCTACTATCACACCCCCAAACCAGAACGGCGGAAACGTTCGGGGGCGGAGGACATCATATTCAGTATCATAACAGTTCATAGAAAGGAAAGTACACACCACCATACATATATAAAGGTTTTAAAAATGTTTACATAATTGTATTCATTACATGTTCAAAATATAAATACATAAACATCTTTCAAAAGAAGTAATTAACGCCAACGCGTCAATCCCAAAAGTTGATTTCCAAACCTGCTTAGCGGTTCCCTGAGAATACAAGTTATTTCAAAGAGAAAATGTCAACAATTAAGTTGGTGAGTTCATGAGTAGTGTTTTGAGAAAATGTACGCCATTCGAAAGTTCGTGTATGTTTTCCAGAAAACGCAGTATTTCAAACGTAAAGAGTTGTGGTTTGTTGAGTTGTAAATGAATGTATTAGACCCAAAAAATCCCATATTTTCCCTAATGGTTGAGATATGAATTGTTGTGTTTTCCAAGAAAATCCCTTATTTTCTTATAAAGGTATGAAATACATATGAATGTTCGTGTTTTAAGTTGTAAATAATTGCACCAGGAAAATCCCTTATTTTCCTATTATTTGTTTGGTTTGTATACAGGAAAAACCCAAATTTTCCTAACATAACTGGCAGTCTCTAAGACCGAAAATCGCAAGAAACCGACGTTCTTAAAAGTTGTGTCATAGTTTTATATTATAAAGCTATACGAAAATCGCATTTGTTAGATGAAGAATAGTTTTAATAACTACTCGTTCATAAAAGCATAATACCATAATAATTGTATATCCGATGAGTTTTATAACCATACTGAACATAATATGCCTGTAACGACGTTCGTCAGGCGTCACAACGTTATGGCAACTGTCACCCTAAAGGACGGATTGTAGCTAACAGTCAGGGCGCGGGATCATGACTTCCCGTATAGATTTATACACATTTGACACGTTCTCCTAACGGGAGACTCTGGTTATAGACAGGACTTGCGGCATTACTTTCTAATAAGAAAGTAGTGTTTGAAGATATACATGTCTCATGGATTCTCAACTAAGTCTGTATTAAAGTGATAGTTTTGTATGCAAAGTTTATCCTTTTTCACAATTTTTGACAAAGCATAAATCATAAGTTTTTAGAATGTATAAAACGACTTAGCAACGAAAGGTACTTTGAAATCACTATATACTTTGTATAAATCTAATGCACGCAAAGTATGACAAGAGTTTTCCATAGTAGTATGGAAGTGATTTATTCGATAAAAACAAGTGAAGTGAAATTTTATAAAATACACGATAATAACCGTATGTTTACCTGTATCCCCCCCCCCCTTTATGGAGTATAAAAGTATTTAAAAATGTATTTAAAATGTGTTTGAAAGGGGTATGAACTCACTTGATTGATTGAAGAAGGTGTGATGAAAATCGAGCAGAACTTTGGCTTGAAAAGGCGGATTTTCTCGGGATTTCTCGGGAGTAAAATCGACCTTCGGAACTTGCACAAAATAACCAGGGCTTCGGGGTAGTGCGAGCACGGAAAACGAGGTAAAACACAATAAAAGTGAGAGAGAATGAGCAATTTTTCTGGGACCCCTCACATCCCTTTTATAGGAGGCTAGAACCGCCTCGGTATGCGGGAGCATACGCTCGTACGTGGGGCGTATGCGTACGTCACGCATGACCGAGTCCTTGACTGCCTCGGACTTCGGATGTGACGGGGGGTAGGCTCGGATAGGGGCGACGTGGACGATCCGAGGCTAATGCCTTGAGTACGCTGGGCGTACTCGTGTACGCGGGGCGTACTTGTGTGACTCAGACTTTGGATAATACCGAAGTTTTGAATAAAAATATATATTAATTAATTATCAAACTTCAAAAATTCATATCTCCTTGATACGAACTCCGTTTTCGACGTTCTTTATATCCACGCGTAGGTGAGACTAAGATCTACAACTTTCATTTAGATTCCGTAGATAAATTCCGAAATTATTTTTATTATTTATTTATTAAAATGACGTGATTAAGGAATTTCTTTAAAATTCATAACTTTTTCATACGATGTCCGATTTGAGCGTTCTTTTTATGCACATTTGTAGTTTAACGATATCTATGACTTTCATTTAGACACCTAAGGTCAGAAAGTGTTTTATTGAAACTTTGCGTTTTTACGTAACTTCATATCGCCGATTTTTGTCGGAAAAACTTAGAATGGTCATAACTTCTTCGTTATAACTCAGATTTTTGTGTTATTTATATATTTAGAAACCTTAAAACGATATTTACTACATAGCGTACTCCAAATAGAGTTTTTGAATACTTCATTTTTCGATGATATTCTAATCCCTTTTTCAAAGGGGTTACAAGACGCGATCTTTGATGACCTGAAATGACGGGTTGTTACATCATCCCCCCGTTAGAGGGAATTTCATCCCAAAATTTTAATACAAAAGGAAAGTTTTAGGGGCTGAGGAAGAGGTGTGGATACTTCTGTTGCATTTGATCTTCTCGTTCCCATGTGAACTCAGGTCCCCTCTTAGCATTCCATCGGACCTTTACTATTGGAATGCGACTTTGTTTAGTTCGTTTAACTTCCCTATCCATGATCTCGACGGGTTCTTCCACAAAGTTAAGATTTTCATTTAGTTCGATTTCATCAAGTGGAATTACAAGTGTTTCGTCGGACAAACACTTCTTCAGGTTCAATACGTGGAATACTGGATGTACTTTGTTAAGCTCGATTGGAAGTCGGAGTTTGTAGGCCACTGGACCAGCTCTTGAAATGATTTCGAAGGGTCCAATGTACCTAGGATTTAGCTTCCCACGTTTTCCAAAGCGTATCATGCCCTTCTAGGGTGAGACCTTCAGTAGTACACGATCGCCAATCTGAAATTCCAAGGGTTTACGTCTTTTGTCGGCATAACTCTTTTGCCTATCCCTTGAGGATTTCAATTGTTCTCGTATTTGCACGATCTTTTCTGTGGTTTCTCTGATGATCTCCGGACCAGTGAGGGTGCTATCAGGGACTAGACCTTTTGCTAATTGTGTGTCGCCCACTTCCATCCAGCACAGAGGTGATCTGCACTTACGGCCGTAAAGGGCTTCAAATGGAGCAATCTTGATACTAGTATGATAACTATTGTTATAAGA